TCAACAACTTGATCTGGTAACACGGGATTCAGGACTTCAGGCAGAATTGGAGCTTCAGGTAAGTTCAGAACTCTAGGAGAGTTCAGATTTTCAAGATGGTCTTCAATTTCTACGACAACGGGATCCTTTTCTGTAGCCTCAGCAGGAAACAATGCCAAAACTTTAGAGGAATGCTCTGGACCGAACACTACCTCTCTACTTCGAATCACTTTCCTCGTGTCCTTTATCCACACACGAAAACCATCAATGTCGTCGGAATACCCGACGAACACTCCCTGGGCACCTTTGGCATCCCACTTCTTCCGACGTTCTTTGGGCACCATCAAGTAGCAAACGGTTCCAAAGATATGGAACCGTTCAATGAACCTCTTTAACGACGTAAGGAGTTTTACCCTCTACAGAACTTGGACCAGTTCGGTTGAGGATGTACACCACCGCGTTGACAGCTTCAGCCCACAGAAACTTCGGTAGATCTTTGCTAACAAGCATAGTACGTGCTAGGTCATCAATTGTTCTGTTTGATCGTTCAGCACAACCGTTTTGTTGAGGCGTGTACGGATTGGTGACTACCATCTTCGTTCCTTCAGACTTCATGAGATTTTGAATCGCTCCATTTACAAATTCTCCTCCTCCGTCACACTGGAACACCTTAACTGGTCGACCACGTTGATTCTTCACAAACTGCAACATTTCTTTGACCTTGTCAATCACCTCAGATTTCCTCTTCAAGAAGTACACCAGGCGAAATCTTGAGTAGTCACACGTGAAACAGACAAAGTATCTGGAACCACCAATCGACTCCTGTTCCATTGGACCACAGACATCAGCATGAATCACCTCACCTGGCTCAGAAGATCGCTGTTGACGTGAGTTGAACGGTTGTCGATGTTGCTTACCTTCTACACAGGATCCACAGAACTCATCATCAGGTTTCACATGAATTCCGTGTTTCTTGAGTACCTGAGCAACATAACGTTTGTTTTGATGGCCCAAACGTTCATGCCAAACTTGAAGGGAGTCCTTGAACGCCAGGTTAGCTTCACTCACACAGCACGTGTCCGGTTCGTTGACTCTGAGCAACATCTTGAATACTTGACCAGTTCGTACACCTTGCGCCTTGACAACACCATTCAGCAGGAACTCACATCTATCCTTGGAAGAACTGAAAGTCATGCCTTTATCCAGCACACGCGTGACCGAAAACAGATTCCTTCGGGCATCAGGAACATACAGCACGTTTTCCATGTAACAAGGTGTCCAATGTCCATTCACAAGCGCTTCGAAGTTGATAGTTCCTCTTCCCAAGGCACACATCACTGAATTGTTCCCGATACGAATTTCAGCTGGAATCGAGAAAGCTTCAAAGAATGTATACCATTCTTTCTTGAAGGTCATATGGTCAGTCGCACCAGAATCGATGATCCAATCCTCATTCTTGGATTCTGCATTGAAGACTTCGCTAACGAAAGCTTGATTTTTACCTTCAGAGACCACATCACCAGATTTCTTCTTCTTTGCTGTTGGACAATCTCTTCGAAAATGACCAACTCCTTGACAACCGTAGCACTTGAAGGGAGACTTCTTTCCCTTCTGGTTGGACTTGACATCATCTTTGGCCTGCTTATCACCATGTTGACTTCCACTGGCACCTTTGGTTTGAACCTTCAACTTGGTTGCCATCAATGCCGATAAATTGTCCACCTTTTCTTGCCGAAGCTTTCTTCTGTGCTCATCAGATGTCAAAACATTGATAAGGTTATCAAGAGTTTGTTGATCGTCCGATCTGGCCCACCAGGCTTGTCTGAAACTTTCAAAACTGTCAGGCAAAGTTTCCAGCAACTTAACCATCAAAGCTGACTCATCGGGTTTAACCTTCAACTGCTGCATACGAAGAATCAAACCTTCAAATTTAGCTATATGGCTTACCATATCATCCGCTAAATTCATGTCAAAACTGAAAAACTCCGTCTGCACCGAATGAACAGCTTGTTTAGTTTGTTGTTCATAAATACCGTGCAGTTTGGTCCACATCTGATGAGCAGTCTCGCAGGCGACAATCAGGGTCATAACTCTCGAATCAATTGTCTTGACGATGATTTGACAAGCTGCGCGATCTGCTTTGTCCCAAACTTTCATTGCTGCTGCGTGAGCCGCACGTTGATCCGCCGTCGTATCATCAAGCAGCACCGGTTTAGTCAACTCTCCAATACGTTGATCCGCCGTCGCATTGTCAACCAGCACCGGTTTAGTCAACTCTCCAATACTGACTTCATAGGCTCCATCAGTTGCACGCAATAAATTACGCACCATAAATTTCCAAATATTCCAGTTTTCCGAACCCTTCAACTTCTCAATACCTTGAAATTCCATGATTGTCAGTCACCAAAATTCCAGTAACTATCACCACCAGGTTATGAGATGAAAATGTCCCAGAAAACACTATTTGATTCGTTCAATCTTCGTTGAAAACGTTGGTCCAATCAAATCGAACCACGCTCTGCTACCATATTATAGTTTTGTACACCAAAAATATGGTTTAATTAGCCAACGTTTTAATACAACATTGGGCGTGTTTGGCCGAAGCTTACTTCGGCCAAACACTTACTTACTAAATTTAGTAAGTCACTTACTATGCTTACAAAATTTTCGGCCGGGACACAAAATAAGTGCTAACGCAGTAAGTATGGCTTAATATACGACGCCATTTTGCTTATTGTTGATGTAAACAAAACGGACAATAAAATATCCAATAAAATATTTCTCATAAAATTATCCATTTGAAACTATTCACAGGTATTAAATTATATTCCTAAATTTAGTACTGTCAATTATATTCAGTCTATGAGGTTATGTACGGGATATGACATAAACCGGTGTTTTGTGTTATGTTAATAAGCCAGTAAGTCTGTCCTGGCCGAAAAGCGCTACAGTCAGCTTGTAAGACTTTAATTTTTTTATGCTTACTGGCTTACTAAGTTTAGTAAGTACTTACTTCGGCCAAACACGCCCATTTATTGACGAAAATCTGATTGACAGAATTAATAGAATACAATTTTTTAAATTCTAAATAATAAGGTTTTACATCAATACTTTGTGTGACATGTCCAATATTAATTAGTACATTACAAAGTTAGTGTTTCAAATTTTGCATGCTTGTTTTATAAAACAAGTCTAACTTTCTAGTTTTTAGCCTTAATCGCATGAGTTCTTATGTGTAGTTGAATAACAATAAAACAAAAAATATTTGTTAGTATTTATGACTTTATTCAATACGACAATGAAACTACAAAAGTTGCCTGCATTTCAAACAGCAATTTCATATACCTCACGAACTGAAGCATATAATTATTACATAAAAGAAACGTATAATAAGAGGGACTAGTTACTAAAATTAAAATCAATAACATTTAAGCATTGCTATACATGATTTTTCCCGATCTCTCGAGTCTAAAATGCTACACAATATCCAAGGCAAATTGGTCAAAGGTCACGTGTCCCGAGAACAAGCTGACTTACAACTAACCTTACTTGAACAGCGTTAGTAATATGAGTGGAAGCTGGCAAGCGACCGCCCCGCCCAAGCTCTACCGCCTTATTATATACAATACATCGAAACGAATGGCAAAAATATATAATATCTTCCAACCCGCGTAATTTCGAATACCCACATCGATCATTCGACACTAGATATGGTTACCGATATAATTTGTGCCTTATCGATTCTATCCTATAGCGATACATCACAGAAGCTGTTGTCCAAACCATCAATTCCGGCCCGGCGTTAAGAAAATATAAAGGCAGCTAACGTTAGCGATACCGAGGCACTTTGCTTTCACATTGTGCTTGAGATCATAGTCTACAATTAAATTTAGCCTTATAAAAATTAAAGCATATTCATAACATTACAAATAAAAACCCTTTTAAGAGTGCCAAAATTATGTATCGCGCATCATATTTTTGCAATATCATTTAAAAAAATGGAACCAAATTCTTAAAAATGAATTTTTACTTCTAAAATATAAATTGGAATCCATGCTTTTTTCTTTCTTTACGAAAGTAGTAGTAGTGGTAAATTTTACAAAAAAAGCTTGCTGAATATTGTACCATTAAACGCATTAACCGGGCTTACCCAATCCGACATACCCCAAATCCGTTCCTATACAAAATACGTTTATAACAGTCTATAGAGTGACAGTGTAAAAATGACCCAAAGGCAAATGAGTGTTTGGGACATCGGGCAACACTGATGTGTCATTGTCAAGTTGCTGCGATAGCTGCCCAATCACTCAATCGCCAAAGACAATAAACTTAAATTTATTTAATCATCCTAACAATACTGCTGCGTACAATTAAAAATAATGATATAAGTTTATTAACTATTATTAGAAAATTCCTCCTCGTTCACACTCGCTAAGCAACGGGTTCCGTATTATTAGCGTTAGTATCTTTTACTAAGAACCCTACCAGCTTTTAGTATTCGATTAACATGAAGACAACTTCGAATACTATACACGTTCTTAAAATACGTCTTCATCCGTACTATCCTTTGCAACGTATTTTGCGAACGCACCAATATGACACATCTAATATTTTATATAATTTTATTTAATAGGCCTGTGTCAGCAGTTGCCACGTGAAAGTTCCTAAATAAACCTCATAAACATAAAGCGAGTTAACGAGGGTACTTGATGCAATACCGATGTTGCTATTTTCTAGTCCCACGCCGCACGGTGTTACCAGTCGCCGTACTCGTACTATTGATTAAATTTCATGGTAACTTAGATCGTAGACAGTGTACGCGTTTTTGCTAGAAATTTCTCGTATTTTTCTCATGACTCGTGACTGAATAATGTTCAAGTAAAAATTTCAATTGACTTTCTAGCGTTAACTTTAGTGAATTAAACAAATGGCTTTCGCAATATCGGTTTGTCTTGGCGTGTCATGTGAATCGTAGCTGCGACTGCGATATGACTGGTCGCGGCGTGTGCGACTAATTGCGTTTAGTTGGTTGGAGCCTCGCTCTCAGCGCGTGCAGATTTGTTCTGCCGAACCATCTCAGCACGTCGCTCCTGAAAAAAAAAACATATAATAATTGACTTGATTCAATTCACGTCATTAAATAATCAATGTCGTTTATGTAAAACAGTTCATGAAGTCTAAGAATAGATTGAGTATCAATGGTAGTAGTTTTAAGCATAAGAGGCTCGAAACACTTATTTTCAAATATAAAAACATATGTTTCGTGATCATATGTTTTTCCTAATATACAATTAGGTGGTCAGCCCTTTATGTCTAACACTCGCCGTTTATTTTTGGGTCTAAAACGTTTTCCACACAATGTTTTCCTACACCGTGTGAACAAGAGATAATCGCGCACATAGAAAGAAAAATCCATTGGTTCCCCGCTGTAGCATTTTCGATTATACGTAAAACAGACACCTTGTCACACAATCTCAGTGACCCTACCTCCTTTTTAACAAAATCGAGTTTCCTCTGCATCTCCCTCTCCCTTTTGAGTTCGGCGGCCGTCAATTTGGTTTCTATATCCTTTGTTATTTCCTCAACCTTCGCAGACAGCACCGATCGTACTTCGGCCGGTTTATTGTTCTAATGTGATCGAACAAAAAATCAACTAAAATGGTTATGATTTAACAAGTAACACTAAGTGAAAAGCTAATTAAATAAAAACTGATCTAAACAGATGAAATGAGTTCACAAATGATATGAACATGACAGCGATTTTTATTCTAGATGGTCAAAGTAATGATGATGATAGTAAAAAAAATGGCATACCCACTTCACATCGCTCCAGGATCATATTGAATTCCTTCTATTTATTTATCTATATTAAAACTAAGGCATTCTAAATCTATACTTACGTGGTTGCGCAACTTCTCTTTTTGCTCGGCTTCAAGCTGAAGACGCCTGTCGGCAGCCTGCTGTAGCTTATCCTGGATCGCGCTTTCAAGCTGCTGGAAACGCTCTTGGTTTCCGGAACGTACTTTGCGCACTTGCTCCTCCTAGAATAATAAGTTTGATAATATAAATTATCTTTCAGACTTTCTTACTCCACAAAAATGTTATCCTGTTCCAGACTCTAAAGGATTTATCTCTACTAAGTTTTTTTGTACTCTTTCTAAAATATAATAAGAGGCTTTTAATATCCTACATGTTTCGTTAGCTTAAAATTGTATTACAATTACTATTTCGTAATATTTTGAAAATGCATTATTGAGAACGACTAATGCTCGCAAGGCATTCAGTATGAACTTTGTTTAAGATTTATACGGTTAATATATTTCGTGCTTCTTTCTATTATGCCATAAATAAATAATATTACTAGTCTTACATGTTCACGAAGGCGCTCAAGCATCTTCTTAATGTTCTCGTCACGCTTGTCAGCTGCCGTGGTCATCTTATCTTCGATCGCCTTGTACACTTCAGAAGTCTGTTGCTCCAAAGTCAGCCTGGGTAAAAGATCTCAGTATACGAATTACAAATTAATCTGAAACCCTAACAGTATCTATTAATGTGTGCACAATTGAGGAACACAGACATTAAAAAAAAAATCACTGAAACTGAAAAAATATAGTTTGAATAATAGTTTAAACACAAGACTCTATAGCCGAGTGAAACATAGAAACAGAGCAAAAATTTGTGAAAAACTCGTCGTAAAATCCATTGAAGTTCCAGACAAAAAAAAAATGAAACAAATCCTTAGAATTGCAAACAATATCCAACAATGCGTGACCTTAAGAACAATGTTACTCTAAAGTTAACTAGTTGCAAGTAATTCATAAAATATATATACCAGCAAACTCATCAGTGAATTTGTTAGATTTAATTTACATTCGTGTAATAGGTACTTCAAACGCTAAACTTCCAGTGGATTTCATTATACTGTACCTACTTAAAGATCTTACTGTTTTCATTATTATGGTAACAAACACGGTACTATCTCAACGATTTATAAAAGGCTGAAGTTGTTTTAGAAACAAAACGATTCTTTATTACTTCAAATCAAAGAAACAGTACTTTAGTATAACTATGTGATATTTTTAACAAGCTCTTAACTATCGCTTATTATTTATTAAAGTCTCTGTAGTGTAAAGTCCATTAAAATTAGAATCGTGTTTAACATGCGAATGATGGTGTGATCTCAAGCGTGGTAAACCCGGTCAAGAGAGGTTGTTCTCATAAACTCATTGACCCAAAGACGATTACTAGTAACTTATAGATTATTTTATATTTATAGTAACAATATTAATAATAAATGGTAATATTATAAAACTGAAGAAATTTTCGTTGAACGGGCTAATTTCAAATTAGTTTTGAGTTTGATAGCTTATTATCAAGGAGCCTGATTGGATATGCTACCTCCGAATGAACATGGGTAAAACCGTAAGTCACAAATAGTTCGTTTTCATTGCAGTTGTTTGTCCGGTGTTCTTGCGTTAAATTCTCCAAATAGGAATTCTTTTGGAGTGAAATACCGAGAAAACTGATAATGTTAGGGAGAAAACTAATTTATTTATTTATTTCCATATAATTATTGTATCTTAACAGTTAATACTGCTTTTTTTGTAATGATTGGAAATCAAACGGACTTTTATTATTATTACTAATTACTAATGCGATAAAACTACACAATAATACCTAAACCGATAATTATATAATTAAAAAACATAAATATATATATACCTAGAATAAGTAAGGCATCAAAATAGTTAACTAAACAAATCTGTGGCCCCATTGCATTACAGTAAATCGAGTCGAAAAAGATAAATGTGTTGATTATTGACTTATTCGTACACAGGGTTTTCTATTTTAGAATAAACTGCACATGTCACCAATGTAAAATTAATTTTATTATAATTAGCAACTATGTATAAAATCTTGTAACCCTACACTATACACTTCGCATCCGTTTTACTTTTTTACGGAACATAAAGGGGAAACCGATCTCTTTCCATAGCCATACACCACTTGTACACGTTCTAAAAAAAGATAGTACTTATCATCAAGTACCTTCGCGTTCAGTTCCGTCCGCTTTGAACACAAGCTTTAAAATCTTAGAATAATTTTACGAATTTCGAGTCTGTTAGAAACTGAAGTATTGAATTATTTCAACTTTATAAAAATATAAAGGATTCGAATTTCAAGAATATTAGCTAACCTATGCTATGCGAGAGACCTGAGAAATGAGCCTAGACTCTTCTTAAAACCTATACAGACTATACTATTCCGAAAAAATTAAAACAAAAGCTGCCACGTGAGGTAATAAAACTTTTGGGCTACACTAACCTGGTCTTCTCGACACCCTCAAGGTGATCCTTCAGCCTTGCACGCAATTCGTTGATGTAAGCCTCACGTTTCTCTTCATGCGAGTCCATCTTCGCGTCCAGGGCCTCTTTCGTTGCGGAAATGAAACTATTCGTCTGTTCGCTACGGATCTTCGACGCTTCCTCAATCTTTGCCATCTTTTGAGCGATTACAGCCATCTTGCTTGCTTCTAGGCTCTGGAAAATAGTATAGTAAGTAGAAAAAAACAAGTTTTAGAATATTAAAAAACAATGAATAAAAATAATTTATTTATTTGGTATGTAAAACGAATTTAGTTTCAAAAGAAATATGCAAATTATTTCTGATACAACACAATTTTAAGAGTCTTAGCACTTAATAGAACTTCGAAAAGTATTCTAAGTTATACATACGCGTCTTCTCTCTTCAGCAGCCTTCAGTTTCTCTTGGATCTCTTCAACTGATGGTGTCTTCTCGGGAGAGTCAGCCCGGCGTGGAACTGGGACACCCACCGGTTCGGCGAGTATCACTTCGTACGCAAGACCTCCCTTCGACATCTCTTGGCAGCGGATTTCAGTAGCTGTTGATAAATTTATAAATTTTTATTTTATCTGCCTGACAGGTCGATCTTACGATCTAACAACGTTGATATTTGTTGAATACTTAGAATGTACTTCAATTTAGTAATTTTAAATAATGGTTCGTAATAATAAAGTAACGTAATTAACTTAAACGTAATAGATATTATTTAGCTATAACTTAATATTTTAGTTCTATTTGAACTATATTATTATTAAGGAGGGGGCGAAATAATATATAGGTAATTTACTTCAAAGCTCAACGTATAGGTAAAAAAAGGTCTTTGGACATCCAAAAATAATTAAAGTCAGGTAGGGGTGGGGCGATTTATTATATTTGTTTTTGAATCAAATTAATTCTTCAAAATATTTTGATTTTATTTTACTAGAAACAAAATTATATAACGTATATACTATATATAGTGGTTATTACATATTTTGGTTTAAGTATAAAACTTCTTTACGATGTACATAACATGACGAATTTCTTCGATGTATCGAATGTTTTACAGCCACCGTGATCGCCAAGGAACTGACTCACTTTTCTTTTAAAGGCTTTCTAGTACTCGTCAATCCAAAATATATAACTAATGTCTCTGAATAGGCTGTTCAAACAGTTGACAAACTCTCACGTCTTAAAATTAAAACCTTAAGGTTAAATATTATGTAAGTATTTAAAATAACACATTAGCCGTTGCGTCATCTCATACCAATTGCTGCATACAATTTAATCTGCCATCCGTCAACATAATATGCATCTAGTGCTTAAACAAACAGTGAGCGTAAGGCGAGGTATTATGGCTCAAACAAAAAGCCACACCGCGATACGCAAACATCCAGACACATTAATGATTAAATTATGATTACAGAGCTATTAACACCCCACGTCGGGGAGTTTTAAGTATGTATAATGAAGGTACGGCTCCAATTTCAGACTTTTTAAAACGTGACGAACAAGCGGGAGCACTTGGGTTGAAGTAATGCAATTCTCAAGGTCGAGTCGCTGGGTCCTTTCGACCCTGCGTTTGTTAAGAACAAGGGTGAGTCTCCCTACAAATGAGTCACAGCAAACACCCCAGCTATACATCTCCATACGAGTTACGACTTATTCCCTAGACGGTGAGTTACTTTATAAAGCATGTCGAAATTTGATACGAGAGTTATGGTCGTTTTGTACTAAATAAAGTTTGAAAGGGTTGTATATTGCAAAGTGCAAACTCCACTCGAAATAAAAAACAACATAAAGTGCAACAAAACTTTGACTATCAGCATTAAACTTACTGATGAATTTGACTTTCTTTGGTTGTTTAGTCCGTGGCTTCCCGACGGGTTTCTTCACTGGTGCTCCCCGCCTATGCACTAAGAAAACAAGATATTTAGAGAGTCGTCATGCATTGCCGGTCGTTCATCCATCCGGATCCACCCATTGCCTTACCAAAATTAACGCCATAAATGCAATTATGGCGTTAATTTTTGTTGGCGTTTATAGATTCATGTTCCTAAATGTGCTCGATGTGGTCGAAAAACAGTATGTACGCAAAAGTTTCATTACTATTGCTTCAACTTTCATGAAATCATACCGTTAATTTTAAAAGAATAATGCGATTTCATTTTGTGACTTCCCTCAAATGAATAAATGACCTTAATATTAAACTGTGAAATATATTTGAAGGAACAACTTTAATTGAAAACTTCTAAAACGAAATTATCATTGTAATTCTACCAGAAAGGGCAATCGAAATGCCATTAGGGTGAATTCGGTCAGCTAATATTTATTCGAAGACCATTTAGACTGAAGCTAATGAAAGGATAGCAATCAATGGTTGTGTCACACGCCAGTTATATCGATTTTGACGGTATACTCATGCTTTATCCAAGTTGCCATAGGTAGTCTAAATATATAGAAATATTGAATAATCCCATAATCATTTATAGAAATACTTAAATTAAGCCAATCAAGTATTCAGATCAAATCTATCTTGTAAATTAGGTTAATTCTTTAGGGACCAGATAAAATTTCCTGAAAATTAAAAAACTCATTTCATTTTATCAAATACATAAATCGGTTGCCACAGATATAAAGGTATAAGTTGTAAGTCTACGAAAAGCAATAGTTGAGAGGTAATAAGGCGACGGCACGACAGGGCGAGATGAGAGGCCACTACGTGATAAGAATAGGAGATTGTCGGGAAATATTCCAGCAAATACAGATAATCCCTTACGGGAGACACGGTTTACAGTGTAGACGATGTACAAAGTATTAGTTCTATACTTTAATTTCACTTTTGAACTTTATGAAAATATACCTAGTTGTCGTCGAACTGAATACGAATACATTTAAATTGTAAGAACGAAGTGAATTAACATAAAAAAAACAATTAAATGAAAATGATGATATTATATCATCGACATAATAACTATTTAGTTTAAGTATATATTACAAAGAAACGAGACCAAAATTGATATTTTAGTCCTTTCTTAATAAGCTACAATTAGGAAAAGAAGGAACATCCTGATCATTTTAAGAATATGTCGAATGTCAGACGATGCAGTTGGAAACCTTACGTCACGAATTACGAGGTCAGCTCCTGGCTAATGCGGTTGAAACTGACATAATGCGGATTTGCCCACAATATATATTTTATACTTTTAATAGGAATAGCCTAAATTGTATCGAAGCAATGATTTGGAGATATACTAATACCAATTAAATGAAATTAAAGAACGAGGAAGTTAATTATTATAAACAAATAATGTATGAATAAAATGAACACATAATTTGAATTTACAACTGAAAGAGCCAACCCCTCTGGCGCCACACGATACGACATGAAAGTTATAATTTATTAAAGACTAGGTTTATAACACGCGGGGAATTCAATGTCTGGAATGAAAATCCTTAGGGATTAAGGTCGTTTGAACATGTTCGATTTCTTTATTTATTCTTTTCTAAAGTTATCTCTGACTGCATTGCATTTACTTCAATGAAGCGTTCTCTATAGTTCTCATATTTTTAGTGAGATGAAGGGTGGGGCTCGCAATTTTTGCGTTATCTACATTAATCATTAAATGTATTATAATTAATCAAGCACATCACTCAATCGTTACAGTGATGTAAAAATGTCTATAGTTCCTCTTCTTTGTTAAAAAATATTGATTACAAATTCTATAGCCGCAGAAGTAGAGGTGTAGGGCCGTGAGACACGCAAAGCTTTCAACCGCAATGCATCACGGTGACATTTGTCATTTGATGTATTTTTCTCTTCAAAATTAAGTAAAAATTATATGAAGTAAATATTGAAACCAAAAAGTTAGTGAAATCAAGATCTTTGGGACAAGATATGAGGGTGACAAAAGATCGCACTGATAGAGGGGATACACAAACTGCTATCACATTATCCAAATATCAGAAGGGTGATAACTTGTTGAGCCAATTAAATTCAGCTCTAATAATGTCACCCTAAACAATTATGTCATCTGTATGCCCCAGTGCTTGTTAATGAAGGGTATGTTAACAATTTAAATACAAACACGGTGAAATGCAAATGACTTAATCACTACCCTATTTATGTAGGATTTAATTTAGATTGGCTTATGTAAGAGCGATGACTGAAATGCTGGAAGAGCTAGTAAAAAGGGACAATGAGTATATGAAATATGGGTAACAGTAACAAATAAAGTTCACAATGTGTGAGGACACCAACGTTCTCAAGCATTCCGTGAAGCTATAGCGAAAGTAAGAGCCTCTACTGGTCAAAACCGACGATTTTAAAACAATAACCAAATAAAAAAGATTTATATCCTAGGAATCTTAAGATAGAAGACAGATAGGATAATTTTACAAACGCAAAATGGTGGACGTGTATCCTAGAGACCAAAATGGTTGACTATGTTGAATCAACGGAATCGTAATTATAATAGTTATTCTTGACAATTGAGTTTGCGATATTAGTCCCGTCAAGGATAAAGCTGCACAAGGCTGCGACGCGCCGGCCGGCTTTTCCAATTACAGTTTTTTGTAAATATGCATATATAGTATACCTATACATGAGTTGCATTTAAAAGACGAATTTGGTCAAAATTTATTTCATAATTGTCTCAAGTAATATTGGAAAGATATTTTGTTCGTCGTGACGAATGAACTGTATTTTTAAAATATATGACGTGTGGTCTGGTATATATATATAGGTAATATATTGCACAAATCATCTGCAACAAGACTCATAAAAAGTGATTTTCTAAATAACACAAATAAGGCAAGGCAATGGGCGTTTGTCACCAGAACGCTACCGGCAATGCTAAAAGATCCAAAATCTGGCAATGCTGCAAATCCAACCTGCGGGTAGTACAGGTGCTCTGCACGTGTGGCAGAAGCACTGCATAACCGAGTCACGAACGAGTCCTATCAGCATGGTGGCAGCTTGAAATTAACTATCTAAAACGTGACGGAGTCGCGTCGCGAAACAAGCGGTCTGCGCGACTCTCGTCCGGAAACTGAAAGAACCGGGGGGAGGGTAGCTGGTCGATAGCTGCTCCCCGCGCAGCCGTCCCGCCCTGCAGACCCTCCGCCACCCCAGCGCTTCGTCCCTAACTTCAAAACTCGTACAAGAAAATAAGCCCACCAAATGGAAAAATAATGTTTTACTTTCTTCTTTACAGAGACAAGTTTATCACAAGTAAAAAAAGGCATCCACCTGAACATAATTAACGTATAGTATTGCTAAATAACCACATTAACTCTAACATATATGGTATATTCTCCGACTATAGTTATTATTTTGCAATATTTTTACGGTATACACCGTTTAAAAAATATAACGTTTATAAAAACGGTATAAAACCAGAGATACACCTAGTAACTAAAGGGACTAGGATCCTGAAGGATAAACTTATTTACGAGCCAACAAGGCTCGCGAGGTCGACGGTGGGAATCTCTGGCACGTAAAAAAAGCTTTAGGGCGGGCGGGCGTAGCGAGGAGGGTATGCGGCGGTTCCGCCGCCGTCTCGGCGCCGCCACCCGCAGCCAATTAACAGCCGGCAACGCCACGTTGAATTTGTTTCGCCACTCGAATTGCTTCCGATTGATTTCCTGTTCTTCAAACCCGGAGATGACGAACGACGGCACTTAGACTTAAGATTTACCGGCCTACGGAGCAGGTAAATCTTTACCTAAGGTCACGCTAAGATCGACGTAAAAATACGTCTGCTATAGTTAATAGATTTTTTTTTATGTCTAAGGATATCAGCCTTGATACTTGAAAGAACTGTAGTGATGGTAACCTCGTGCACCGGTAACAGCGGTGGTGCGTCGATCGATGCGGGCAACAACCCCGAGTCCCCGTCCCCCTACAGTAATAACTGGGAATTCCAGGAGAGCCGCGACCGATGTATACAGGCACGTGAATATACCAAGGCAGATGATTAAACAATCACATTGAAAAGAAGATTCCAAAATAATTAAGAAAAAATTACATTAGGTCCAATTTAACTAACGTCCATAACACTTCGTGTTAAATTTTAAATTTAAATTTTTTTTATGTCTATCTCAACGTAAAATAGCGAATGAGAATACCGATATGATCTGACTGAACAATAAGCGACTAACATCACGAGTATCCACTGAACTTCACTTCATCAAAATCACATACAATCGAGAAAATAGTGTCTGCACTCTATAGATCATTTATCGCCGGTGTGATAAATTACTTTCCTCAATACATTTTTCCCTCAAAAATTTCTAGCTGTGATTTCAATGATATTATTCCCTATGACTAAACATCATAAATGTTTTAAATAAATATATGTACATAAATACTCGGTCCCACAGATTTCACGTAGGACAGTAGACGCCTATAGTATCGCGCATATTGAATATTTTTCCTGTTTTTAAATAATTTTAATTGTTTCTATTAAAATATATTAAAGCGGCGGGTATAAAATTTACGCATCTATTATTTTAGTATCTTACTACAGTCCTTAAAGGTTTCCATTTTCAGATTAAGGTCTAAAAATTACATTCACTAGGGATGTAAAACATTTAAAAGCTTGGTGAATTCATAGGCTCAGACTGTTCAACATAAGTTATTGGAAAGCTATAAAACCGACTTAATTTGTATAGGTTGCGGCAACAAGTTAAGTCACGTGCGTTAGAAGATATAAACCGGCGCGCGTCCTGCGACGGCATTCGTATCGATCTTCTGCTTTAGACTTTCGGATATAATCGCGGTGTTCGGATACGACTCGACACAGCTGAGATAAATAGTATTTTTAGATGAACTTTCGACATCTGTCTGACCGATCAGAAAATATAACACTTCTTACATATTATATAAAAAATAATTTTATTCAGAATAGAGTGTGTTAATTATATTCTTCGAAACATTTACGCGTTTAAAAACTCAAAATTACAAAAAGAATACAGCGGTTATAATTCTAGAGTTTATTTATAAATATAATGTAACATAACCAAAATTTCCTTAATCGTATGATCTCTTAAACATTCGAGGCGGGGTCCAATGAGGTGAAGAGCTGTTTATTTCGTTGTAAACCATGTAAATGTAGACGATCCCCGACGCGATAACAAGTGTTTACAGTACAAATACCTTTGGGGATGTGGTTAGTTGTTAGTAATATGCACCACTTTCAAAGTATCTATTCAGTATTTAAAATACCTAGTTTGCACTAACCTATTTCCGTTTCTGCGTCTAGACAGAGTACTAGTACTGTCGCCATTCCACTATCTGCATTCACAAATCACATCTCAATTATACTTAACTTTTCCATACGAGACATGTATTTTATGCACAAAATTTTAATTTTGTCATTTTGTTTTTTAAATTTCTTTTTTTTATCATTAAACTGAAAGGATTTTTTTTATTTTAGCTATTGACAAAACCTATAACATATATCAATAAGTTCAAAGGGTGAGAAATTCAAATTAACAAAACGCATCACAATTACTGCTTGAAATAAAAGGTGAAAACATTGGATTTAACGGCGTCGATATTCATACTGTATCAGTAGTGTTTGAGAGAAAAAATGTTTAAACGTGGATTGCGATTTGATAGATTTGTAGCATCGAAAGTCTTGTGCACGATATCAGATAATCTACCAAAAATATTTTTATTTGTGAAATATTTTCCATCAAATCCCAATTTTACGTGCGTCGAGATGAAAGGAGTAAAATATTTTACTCATAAATTTACAGCAGTTTATAATATACCAAAACAAAACCCAAACAAATAACCATATGTCATTAAAATTGCTCCAAAACTCCTATTTTACGTCTATATTATAATAATAGGTAACATTATTACTTCACTCAACAATGGCATGCTTACTTACTTTTTGCTTATATTAGATACATAAGATGTTTAATGTGAGTACTTCTAATAGTATTTTGCACTTCGGTACATTGTACTTGTAAAATGGTTTTTATAGCTTCTTCCATTATACGAATATCAATTAAAACTGAAAATATGTAATAAATAACTAAAACGCTGTACATAAACAAACACGGGACGAGTCAGGTGACGTAAAGCAAAGCACGCGCAAAGTTTTTGCGATTGTGTGTGTCTATTTTATGTAATGTTTTGAATTTCATTAAAAAAAATAATTGGAATACTATATTTACTTATTTCTACGTTATAAAGAAGTCAATAATTCATTGAATATGTAATAAAATAATACTACATTTAAATGTTTTTCTAGAAAAACGAAAAATAAACCAATAACATCACCGGAAAAGCTTTAATAAATAAGAAGAATGCACAAATTTGTCAGGACATATGAATCATTGTGATAAATTAACAGCCTTTTGGCAAAGGTGCAAATTTTCATTTGAACTATAAACGATTGTGATCCTTATGCCCTAAGTGAAACGACCGCTTTTGGACCGCGATTAATATTCTGTAGTTTGAACATTTGAAAGTTTCAGTGGCAGTTCTAAATGGTAACTCGATTTGTACACGTTGAAAGGATTTTTAATTAAAATTTTACTTTGACGAAATAAGTTTATTCTATTAAATGCTTATAATAGCCTATAACTTTTAAATTTCTTCACTGCAATTGTGTCGCGATTAAAAAGAAGTCAATTTGATTTTTAGTTTCGCTATTGTATGTAAATATTAAATGGAGAACCGACATAGTCTAACTACGAAAAGACTTTCTAAATATCTTCATAGACCAACCTTAGTATCTATTGATTTTTCTACGCTATTGTAGAAAAATTAAAATAATAAAATCTGAATAATTTGATCACGACATCTTACATAGACAAAACTTTCTTTTCTAATCCGCAAAGCGCATACAAATGAAGCGTCTGTTCAAGCTTTATGAAATATTAATTGACAATGGTATTTCCAGACTATATTTTCAACAAATTATATTTTATATTCCCCAATATAGGGCGTTGGTAGTAACTAACACCTGCGTTTTTCATTAAAAATACCACTACGAGTCTAAAGGAATTCTAGGTTTCTTTTCGTAGATAATTTTTTCGTTTCATTCGTAAATAGTTAAATTATTTTTTTAGAACACCGTCTCTAGCGTTCACTTAAATAATGAACCCCTAACACCACAATTGCACCAAACTGATAATTCTGCGCGTTTTCATAACAATTTTTATGAAAAATAGTGATTAATCAGAATGAGGATTCCGACGGGAGTCGAACCCCGTTTGACTAACTGATGTACGGAAGTGTTAAGTATAAGTTATATATTCATATATATAGCTATTTATTATATAACACACATATATAAATTATTATTATTTGTTATCTTCGGACAAGTTAATATTGAGTCTGTCGCAAAGTTTATCGCTTACAAGAAATACAGGGGGAATAGACGAAACGTCCCATTCCAACTTTCTAGGGGAAAGGAATGACGTATAACACAATGTAATCTGGAATAACTTTCAATATTTGCCATTATCTGATCGCAACAGATTGCGCCGCGTCATAAGGCGCTGTTGCCAAAACCATCTGCGTCTTACTTTTCTTTGCATTAGAAAATTTTGTCATTCAAAACTTGAGTATTTATTGAGAAAAACTATGTTTTAACTATTATCATTTCTACAAGGTCACATGAAACATGGTACTTCCATAAAAAATATTACAAAATAAGACTTTTTTTTTTTTCAATGATTTTATATACATTACTAGCTGACCCGGCAAACGTTTGTTTTGCCATGTATTTCTAGGAAACATTTTTTAGTTCAATAAAAATAACTATCTACAATAATAAAAAATAGGGGTTGATCGTAGAGGGGTGAAAATAGGAATAGGGGTTGTATGTATTTTTGTATGTTATATCAAAAAAAAATTGAAATATTTTTTTTTATAATATTTTTTTTTGTGGTGGACACCCCCCATCATTTAGGGGTTTGAAAGATAGATAGTAGCCGATGCTCAGA